GTGGCCCCATCCTCCTTTTTCCTGAGTGCCCCCATAGCTGCTTGCTATGGGGGCACTCATAACAAGCTTGCTCCCGAACCAGGCTATGTGCATCTATAGTTGCACACAGTGTGGCTTGGCTCCGCCTCCCCCTCAAAGGATTTGTTTGACAGCAGCAGGGGCCAATTGCCATCAGCAGGGCCAGTTAACTATACTGTTCTCATAAAATTACGGAACATTAAAGCTGAACTCTGCTTTTGAAATACGATGCCTGTGCATTCTTCTGTCTTGGTGTGCTTTGTGTATTTATTTCTTCCAGTTCTGTGCAGCAATCAAGTGTGGAATTTTGTCTTTGTACAAAAGGGTCAGATAATTAATGTTTTTGGCCAGCTACTGTTGTAGGTTTGTAGTGGATTTAGTTTGTGCTTCTTGAGTGACCCATGCCTAATAAGTAATAATGTTACAGTATTTTAATTACTTCATACATGGCTGTGTAGGAGTATGCTACCATTTTAAATACATATGTATTTCATACGAAGTATGTCTAGAAAGTAATGAGAATGAAGTTCCTACGCTGGAAAAGGGCTCTGTGAAGGGAGAAGCTGGCCAGGGTCACTTGGGGTGCAGTGCCAACTATATGTTAGAACAATGATCATTTTCATTCCTGTCAGAGTCGAGACATTCTTTTTTGTGATTCCCTGTTCAAATGCCTTGGATTAAGAAAAATGCAAACTGGTTTGGAACAGCAGTACGTGATAAGATTTGTGTGAAATTGCATTAGAAACTTTGGAAATGGTGAGGAAAGCTTATGGATGAGCTGAGCTATCATCTGCACAAGTGTACTGATGGCAGAAAGGATGAGAAGGTGTTGAAGGCTAACATTGCCCCTCTTCATCAAAAATGGAACTGAATGTGGATGCAGTGAGGTCTGTTCTCAACCGTGACCGAAGGCCCCTATCAGAAGATGAAGAATGGTTTGAAAGGACACCATTTTGGTAGTGTGGATAACATCCAAAGAGACGCTACGCAGACTCTGAACGACATTTCATTTGAAGACTTCCAGGGATGCATTGAAAAATGGAAAAATCACTGGGAGTGTTGTGTACACTCACAAGGTGCATACTTTGAAGGGGACAATATTCAATTGTAAACATTTTTTCAGTAAAAGAATTAAAATATCATTCTCATTACTTTCTGGACACACGCTGTATTCGAACATTAAAGCGGAATTTCACCCAAAAGGGGAGGTTCCTCCTCCAACTTTCAGCATATTAAATATTTTGGGGGGAGAAAACAGATACCTACTTTTTATACCCTCTTCCACTTTGGGAAATTCAACCCCCCCCCCCCCTGCCACTGATCCGCAGCCTCTTGGGACATGTCACCAGAATGACCTGTGCATAACAGTTACATTATAACTGAAAGCAAAAGTGTTTACTTACTCAGCACTAGCAGAATTTATATGTGGAATGGCAGCAACGTCCCAAAAATATCCAGTATCCTTTTCCTATTAAATATGGGACTGAGACTTCATTCCCATTGAGCTGAGCGTTTTTTCAAGTGTGTGTGTGTGTGTGTGTGTGTGTGTGTGTGTGTTGTGTTTGTTTTTTTTTTTTTTTTTCAAGCATCTTTGAGAGGTTTTTTTTTTTTTTTTTTTTTTTTTTTTTTTTTAGCAGATTTACAAATGTTATAGGTGTTTTTTCAGGCGTTTTTTCATTGAGGCATTTTTGCTGTGGCCAACAGAAACCGCTTCTGCTTGAACTGAAACCGCCTGAAGAACCACTTGAAATAAACGTTCATTCCCACCGTTCAGGCATTTTCCAATCAATTTATGGGGACAAAATGCTCAGATCTGCCTGAAAAGTAGTGCAAGTACTGTTTTGAGCGGCAGGCGTTTTGCTACAGGCAACAAAACGTTCAAGTGTGAAGAACAGGGGCTATTGGAAGTAATGGGATTTTACTTGTTGAGCGTTTTTGAGCTTCTAGCTGAAAAACGCTCAAGTGTGAATGGGGTCTTAATGGTACTATTTGTTATACTTCTAAAATTACACAAGGTTAGATGTGGTTGTGTTTCTTTGTTTTGATCTGATGTGCGGTATGCGTCCTACATTATTCCTCAGCCACAGTTTGTTTGTGTTCTGCAAATTCAGAAACATTTCCTGTTTGTATACTTGCAGGAACACTGTTGCAGACGCCGTCCCTTGTGTTTTTCACCTTTCAGCCCAAATGTATGTGAGTGGTCATCTTCGATATCTACTCTGAGACTTACTGTGTTTCTTTACAAGGTAAGACCTATATTAATTTACTTTGTTACATTGTTACAAATCTGCACTATAGTGATCAGTGTGTGTATGGCACAATCAAGTAAAAAAAAAAATAGAACACTTGACCTTTTAATTATTTACTTGCTTTTGTATGAGATCAACATTTTTAAAGCTCAACTCCAGGGACACTTTTTTTTTTTTTTTTTTTTTTTTTTACAACACTCACATAAACACAATTCCTTTTTTTCAATACTTTAGGAGCTCTCTAAGCTAAGCGAAAGTTTCTGTTATGTACAGTAGGGGAGCACACTTTCAGCTCTTTGTGGCATTGGAATGGTGGTTTTGATCGACCCTCCTCCTGTGCCCCCTTTCCCCTCACACCACTGTGCCATTCACAAAGCACAGCACAGTAGTTATCGCTGTGTTTTTCAAATGGCACAGCAGAGTGAGGGGAATAGAGGAACAACACCAGAACTTGTGTCGGTTATAGTTGGAAGTGCGACTCCACACTGTGCATCATAGACTAGCTCGCTCGGCAAAGTAGAGTAGTAAATGTGGTAATGTGAATATTGAAGTTTAAACAAATAAAAAATAATAGGGCTTTGCCCAGAGTTGGGCTTTCAATGTTATGACTTTATTTTATTGCTATTTTTAAATATGCCAGAATAACTTAACAATGTGTTACCTGCATAAATCCTCAAACAAAAAAATGTGAATTCTCTTAAGGCATCATCGCCTGGATCAGCTGAATTTACCATATGCTTGTCATTTTATTCCACACCGCCTACCCCAGCTTTCAGCTGGAAATAGCTGCGTTTCAGTGAGCTTTCTGTTGCATAGAGCAGGAAAAGAAGGAATCTTCTCTCTTTAGGATCTCAACAATGAAATAAGTACTGAAAAACAATAAGAGAAAGGGAAGCACAGACCGTTGGCAAATCCTTTATTAAAGCAAAGATTAAACAGAATGTATTGCACTCACATTTGTGTGACATCACACAGGCACTTCAGTAATGTCCAGTAACATTATGTGAGTGCAATATATTTTGTTTAATCTTTGCTTTATTTAATAAAGGATTTATATGTGCTAGGGTCTGCGCTTCCTTTTCTCTTATTGTTTTTCAGTTTTTCCTCATCCCAAGGAATATTGAAAGCAATGAAGACCGTGAAGCTGGTTATTTCTGCTGATTTATTTTTAACTCTCTACCTACACACATTGTGACAGTTTGGACACACATGGCGAGATATTGTGGGACTTTGTCTTAGTGCAGTGCTATTTGATTTTCAACAAGAGATCAATACTGCATGAAGTTTTGTGTGGTAAAATAACTCGTGCGTTATTCTCTTAGAAGTGGGCTTACCTCACTAAAAAAAAAAAATGCAATTTATTTTTTTGTTTGCTGTATTTATACATTTTGTCTTGTCTTTATTTGACTCTTTATTTTGTCACATACCAGACCTCTGGCTGCAGGGTAAAGTGAAACATGTCGCAGCAGTATTAACTATGCTAAATGTGACAGTTCCTGCTGAGGCCTACTAGTTGTTTGGTAGTCAGTTGTCACCTGAGTCTTAACTATGACTCGGCTCTGCCCATTCAGCTGTCAGCCTGTCAAATTTTGTTCCAGGCCCTTAAAGTGGATTTCCAGCTGAAAAAAAAAATAAAATTCAGCAGCTACAAAAACTGTAGCTGTTGACTTTTGAAAGACAGCCACTTACTTGTCCCTCAGTCCAGCTGTGTCCTCACCACCGCTGGTTTCACCGACCGTCTTCTCTCCCTGGCGCCGGCATCTTCAGTGTAGAGAAGCACTGCGCTTTGTGAATGGCCCCGTAGTCTTCTGGGACCTGTCGTGTTCCAGAAGACTACGGGGAGAGAGGACAACTTCCGCTTCTGATTGCAGTAGAAGTGTGAGCAAGTACCTGTCAAATTCAGGTACCTGCTCCCCAAAGGTGCCAATCCTTAATGGGGAGCAGGGGACAAAGCATTAAAGTGGAACATCCCCTTTTGGGTGGAGTTCCGCTTTAAGGTCTGGTATGGATTTTATGGGTGGACCCTTATCTAAGTAGTCAACTTGGCTGACCAGTAAAGGGGGGAAGGCAAGCATTGCAGCCTTGCATCCAGGGGACAAGGGCCTCTTCCCCTCAACCCTGGTCCAGGGGTTGTGGAGAGGTGCTGCCCCACCCCTGCTCCCTCATTACAGGATTTGACTGACAGCACTGCCTCAGCAAAGCCTGTGAGAATGGGGAGAGCTGCTACAGATGGGCACAGAGCTGGATCAAGTGAGGACTCGGTTAAGTATAAGGGGAGTAATTTGGCCATATTGTTACTTCATTTACTGTTACTATCAATTTTTACCTTAATGCAAGGAATGCATTAAAGTAAACAATGTTTAGGATTTTGAACCAATTTAATATAGTTTGGAAATACAACAGTGTTTCTCCTTCATGTCCTCTGACTGTAAAGTGCATCAAAAAATCATTGACTAACACTGCTGCTTTAAATAATGAATTAAAATTTTTAAAATTATATTTGCCTGGAGTGCAACTTTAATAAACAGCCAGTGGTGCCTTTATGATTAGTTTGTTTTTAATAATCTTTGAAATGAGAATTATCCTGAGAATCCTTAATGTTCCTACGATATAATATCACATCCTGAATCTTCTAGCAAGGGTTGATGCTGTACTAGCTTTCTTGCAACCAGTCTGATTTGTCTAATTATTTTTTTTCAACACTCTGCTAAAAGTCAGGAGCATTTCGCCAAAATGTTCTGGAAGTTTGACCTGAACACAACGTCACATGTGGACAAGCTCCTGGAAAAGGAGGATGTGACTTTGCTGGAGTTGATGGATGAGGATGACTTGCTCCAGGAGTGCAAGGCTCAGAACCAGCGGCTGCTGGACTTCCTTTGTCAGGCTCAGTGCATGGAGCAGCTTGTACAGCTCATCACACAAAAACCTCCTGAAGATATGGAGGAGAAAGTCCGCTTCAAGTGAGTAAGCCCTTATATAAAGGGTTCATTCCTTTGGAATTCACTAGTATAAGAAACTTATTGCCAGGTAGCAAAAGAATAACAATTCTATTTTAAGGAGGATTTTGACCATGTATAGTGAATGGTAGAATAGCTCACACTTTAAGAAACAAACTAAAACATTACTTTGGTAATAAAAAAAAAATATAATTTTTGTAATATTCCAAGCCCTAAAGAATTCGATCATCTTAAGTAATGACATAGTGTTTGCCGAATAAACAGACCCGTAGCAGAAATTTTAAAATTGTTGTGGTCCATAGGGTATGCACAGGTGTGAGAACTGAAGTGGTTGAGTAATGTCATGAGATGCACTTAAAAAAGCCTCAGTTAGAGAAAGTACAAATTTGACCTTTTTGTTTTTTTTCTGTTAAGTGTAATGTTGTATTCTAGTTGTTGTGGAGTTTTCTCTCCAAAGAACTTTTGATGTTCTATTGAAACAGAAAAAAGAGAAGCTTTAAAATCATTCAATTTCCATTTTTAAGAAGTGCTGTCTGGGAGATCAACTAATCTGCTTCTTAGCCGCTATCTCAGTTTTAGAAACTAAAAGACTTATGTTAATTGGCTTATATTTAACTGTCTGAACAGTTCTAACATTATAAACTCTAGGAGAATGTTTGTTTAGATCAGAATTCTTCTATAAAGTAATTAATAATTGTGTGCTGATCTTTTCCAATGTAACTTTAAAAATATCTGATTTTCCGGCAGATATCCTAACATAGCCTGTGAGCTACTTACGTGTGATGTGCCACAAATTAATGATAAATTAGGTGAAGATGAGCACCTACTCAACATCCTCTATGACTTTCTACGACAAGAACCCCCTCTTAACCCGCTGCTGGCCAGCTTCTTTAGCAAGACCATTGGAAACTTGATAGCCAGGAAAACAGAGCAAGTGAGAGGATTTTCTAATGATGCTGAGGCATTTGATTGCGGTTCTTTACAATGCATGTTAAAACATCTACATATGTATTATTCAAACTTTTATGCCTTCAAAAATATTTAAACATTACTAAAATGAAAGCAAAATTGGGTTTATTTCTTCAAAGAGAAATGTAGCCAAAGATGTTTTTTTTTTTGTTTGTTTTTTTTTGGCCATACCTCTCTTGTGGGCCACATCAGTATACTTACTTTCATTCTCCTGTGACACAAAGTCAGCTGACAGATCAGAGCATCACCAGGCTTTGGTGTTGGGATGCACCCCACTGCCTGACTAACAGCTGTCTCTGTCTTTTACCGCTCGGCTGAGAACCGAAGCGAGCTGTATCTACCCCCTCCCCAGCTCGGCGCTCCATTGAGCACTGGAGGAGCAGAAGGTATCAGGGGGTCATTTGAATACTCATTGTCAGTGTGCGATAGCTGCATCTTGACAGTAATGCTGCAGCATAGGGGAAAGGATGAAGGTTTGCTCAAATACTTTTCCTTTAAAGTGTATGTAAACCTTAGTAATTAACTTGTTTTATTCACTTTTTGTATGTTAAATATAGTTAAAAGTATTTTGTTACAGTGTATCTGTTCAATAAGTGCAAAAGGATACCTATTGATTCTGCCAGAAACCCAGGTAGTTCATAAAATCCCTTATACTGTTTGTTGCACTGGAATCTCATGCAGTCTTGTCCTCTGTGGACTACAGAGCACCTCCCCACTATTTTATAGGGATGAGAAGAGGGGAATATGTTCTATAGGCCAGATTAGGAGAGAGCAGCCTAGGGTGACAAACACTGTTTCTCTATACATACAGGAGAGTGGTGAATGTTGTCACCCTAGGACAGAAAGTGTGTTACAGGTAGAATGACCAGGTGAAAATAAAGTGAGGAAAAGCCTGAAAAAGAACTAATACAGCCCCCACATGTCAGTAATGGTAAGCTACAGTATATTTACATTTTTTTTTTTTTTTATGGTTTAGTTACAGTTTAAAAATGTAAAGACCAAAAATGCTGGAAATGTATGTTTGTAGCACAGACGGGTTATTTTTTGATCAGTGATTTAGAGACCTTACATGTTATTTTGCTGATTGAGGGCCAAGTTCATGGCATAGAGTACACTAGTATTTTGTTAATTTTAAAACTCCAAAAACTTTTAAAAGTGCTGCCTTTGGCTAATGTTATATTAGTTTCTTCTATTTTGGACAGTTGTATGATCCTTTGGTAACTGGAATAAACTGCTCCTTTCGCTTAGGTCATTGGGTTCCTTAGGAAAAAGGAACAATTCCTCACGCTGGTGCTGGATCACATTGGTACTTCAGCTATGATGGACTTGTTACTTCGCCTCATCAGTTGTGTGGAGCCGGCTCCCCTAAGACAAGAAGTGCTAAACGTGAGACTTGTTAAATGCTTGTTTTAGAGATTATGACTTGTTTTAGGTTATAACTTGCGCTGAAGTTAATCTCTGTTTGTGCATGTATCATCATACGCCAAGTTTTTTTCTTCAGTTTTGTGACAGGTTTACATTAATAAGATTATAGTTTGTGGAATAATGGTGCAACAGTTTTGTTTGGCATGTGTTAAGAATGCTGAAAATGAAAAGCAGCTATAAAAATATATTAATTTGTTTTACTATACCTTTTTTAAAAAAAAAAAAAAAAAAAAAAAATCTATATCCTAATTGTACAGGTAACAGGACTTGAATTCTTAGACCATGGGTTATATGCAGCTATGTTGAGTTGATTGGACACTGACAGAAAAAAACTCACTAATGCAGCCCCAGAGCTCACCATATAACCCCACCCACTCCGTGAGGCTTCAGTTTTTTGCTAGTGTCTTAAGGGGATGGACCTGTTCTCTGGAGAATTTTTCTTTTTCCAACCATTCAATTTATCGGAAGCTTCTAGAAAGATATTGCTTACTGCCCTGGGCTATCTAGCTCTGCTATATGGATTGGTTATCCTTAGTGTTTATAGTGGATACCCTACCTAGACCCCACTGTGTGGGGCTGGCCTTTAATGTTTGCTTTGGCCACTGGATTCTGCTTGAGGCACTCAACTTTGTGCAAAGTGAAGTGTGTGTAGTGGGTCACTGGGTACTATAAAGGTCCAGGGCTGTTGTCCATTTCTATGGTTCCCAGACCCTGAAAACCCCTTTGGAGGGTTTGCCCACCATAATGGGAGAAGCTTGGATCTCTAATAGATCCATTGTCTTGGATAAGTTAAGCAAAGATTTCCCTGTGTATTACACTGGCTCCCCTCTTTTACTAGCACAGTGTGTAGTACATTATTTGGTTCTGTAGGCATTTGGAAGGTATTCACTTGTGATAACACTGTCATTATGTATTTAACTTTTCTCAGCCCAGTTTAAAGTTTGTGGTTTTTCTCCTCCTGTGCAGACTTGCTCTCAGTAGTATGAATTGACTGCGTCACACCCCTTGGGTGATGCCTTTCCATCCTCCACTTCTACCGAAAACATACATAGGGCTATGCTGCACTCCAACCATCTTATACAGAAACATGGAAACATGGTCAATGCCTAGGAAATAGCATCTCCTATATGTGGACATGCACAACCCTATCCATTCTGTGAGTACTCCACTAGGAGTCCTCTCCTTTAGCAATGGTGGATCACAAGCGCAAGGGAGCTGGGACAAAAGGACCGACTGCATTTTTTGTGCTCAGATGGCGTACAAGAAACTCTATCCCCTTCTCTGGCTGATAGCTGATTTCCTTATCCTGGAGCAATGTCCTCTCATCACAGAGCTCTCATTATCTGACTCTGCCTCCTTCTCAAACACCCAACATGCAGCCTGAGAAAAGTAGGTTTTTCTGCCCCCAAAGTCTTTAGACAATTCTTTGTACTTCTAGAGACCAGAAATGCTACACATTTTCTATTCCCCATGACCTTTTACAGGATTCAAAAGTAGAAAAACACATTACCTTGAGGATAATATGGAGGAAAGTATTAAGAAGCCTGATTTTGTAGCAGAAGCTGAAGAGGATTTCCTTCCCTTTCAGTTTAAAATGCCAACTGCTGCTTAATTCCAGATGTTCTCTGCTGTGGACAAACTAATTTAACATGCAGGCTAGTCTTTGCCTAACAGCACCTGACTGCACAGCCTAAATAACCTCCTTGGGCACAGAGAAACTGGCTAGTCTAAAAAAAAAAAAAATGTTTTCAGTACATGCGCAGATTAATTGTGCATTTTATAAGGACTGACCCAATCCTGAATGGGTATTCACTCCTAAGATTTTTGCTTATCCTATGAAAAAGGATTTTAAAATTGACTGTTCCAGTGGTGGATCCTGCCATTTCAGTTCTTAACAAGCATCTTAGACCTTATGCACACTGGACGTTTTTACTGCTGATCCTAGGGGCGTTTGGCATTTTTTTTTTTTTTTTTGCCTCTAAACTTCCCTGCATATTAGCCTATGTTTCCATGCACGCATAAACTTTTAGGGCCAGTTCACATCATAGAAACGCAGTCTGGATGCATTTCTGCATGTGCGTATTGATGTTTGTGACAAGTTCTGGTGCGTTTTTTTAATTTATTTTCCTCCTTTTTTGGGGGTCCAGTGCATTTTTTGATGCCTTCCAGTGCTTTCCTGGGCATTTGTGATGTGCTTTACACTCATTCCAGTACAGTTCTGTGCAGGAAAAATGCAGCATGTGCTACTACTTTTTTTTTTTTTTTTTTCTGGAACTGCAAGCACTGGTGTGAACCATACCATTTACAACCATGTAACCTACTTTCTGTGCATGTTGGATGCAGAAAAAAAAAAATGCACTGGAACGTATGTAGTGTGAAACAGCTGTAAGAGGTTTTTAGTGGCAGGAGAATTTAGAGGCAGGTAAAAAAAGCACTGCCAGTGCGTCCAGGAGCAGCAGAGTTTTAGCAGAAAAATGCTTCACACATGTAAATGCCTTTAACGCTGGCTGAGTTTAGCAGTCGAACGTTAATTCATTTCATCGGCTAGAATAAATGATTTATTCTGGCCAATTAAATTAATGCCCAAATGTTTGATGTGGCTAAGTGCATTATACGCATCAGGCTTTTTTTTCCAAAACACTGCTGCCAGGAGGAACCATCAAGGAGAGTTAAGAAAACGTCCATGGTCCCCACGACAATTTACTCCTACATTTGCATTCGGACAATTCCACCATCTCAATCTGTAGTATTGACTCTTACCTAGGCATCGTATTTACTCTTCTCCCCCCTACAGATTCTTACCGCAAGACATTATGGTAGGAGGCCAGACGTCTCTTTATTTTTAGCACTTGACAAGCATACCTAAATATTACAGGCACAACCCTGTCGTGGCCTAGTTCATCCACACTGATTGGTCTTGCGGTGGACCTCATTTGCCTTTTGTATGATATATCTTTGCTGCATGTTCTATGTACACTTCATCTGTACATTTTCGTGTGTTAATTTGTATCTTGTTTTCAATAAACTTTGTTTTTTGGTAAAAAAAAAAGAAAAAGAAAACGTCCATGTGCGCATGAGGCCGTACATTTCCTATCAAGGATGTTTCCTCTTCTGTTAGTAGTTGTCTAGAAACCCTTTTGAAGGCGTTCTTTGCTGCTAAATGTCTATTTGCCAGACTATTGCTTACTTGACAGGACATAAGAATATGGGAACTGAACCTACTTTTGAGAACCCTGCTCTCTTAGAACCATTACAGCTGATGCCATCAACATGGTTGTTTTGTTTTGACGTGCTACAGTAGGGATGGCCAAACTTTTCAGGGACACATCATATATTTTTACACACATTCACGGACCAAAAATCTTTTCAAAATACATCCACTGCAGTGGAGTAGAATAAGATTTCACAGGTTTCCTGCAGAGGGGTTGGATGGTGTATCTGTATCCTTCGCCTGTACCTAAACCTCAGTGCCTCTCATCACTCACCAGAGTCTCCTTGTACGTTTGTTTCAGTCTCCCCGCAGATTTGCTACCCCATCACTCAACAGAGTCTCTGTGCAAATTGGGGTCCCCATTAGAGCCCCCCACACCTTTTGTGTCTCTATTAGAGCCCGTAGCCCCTCTGGCAATCCTAGCAACCAACACATTGAGTCACCGAGAGGGGGTAAGTATGCAGAGCAGGTACCACAACCCAACAAAGCTTGAGCAGAGACCCCGCCCCTGAGTCTGTGGAGCCAGAAAAAATGTCCTAGTAGGCTGAATATGGTGTATTTTGGAGACCCGTGCTCTAGAAAATGTGATTTGTCAAGTCTCTAAAATGTCCTGTATCTCCTGTGTGTGTATGCAAAAGATTTTGAGGCTAAATGCTTGGTCTGCTGAATCCTTCCTTCAAACTTTTGACAGATAATCCACTGTCTAAAAGTTTGCTCTTTAGTCCCCAAACTGTCTGGATTACTTGGGTCTAATTTTGGATAATCCCAAGCCAGAATTTTCCTTCCCTAAGAGAGAGATACTTGCAAAGTTCTACCAGTTGGATTTTAAGGCCTCAGCTGGAGCGAGCTTCGACTGCAAGGTGCTTTAAACTCTTCTCTTGAGTATTTTGTCTGGGTTCTTTCAAACCAGTGGTTGTTAACTTGCGTAGTAAAAACCACCATCGCCAAAGGGATCATTGTTATTTTCCTAATCTATGTTCCCACTGCAAACTGCTGAAGTTCGAGGGCTGCACATCTTATACTAAAGGGCCGCAATTTAGGCACCGGGGCTTTAAACCCTTGTTTTCTTGTGGTCCTTGTGGCAAGGCGAGGAAAATGGCAGTCTAGGCCTGGTTTTGCAAGAAATGGGCACACTAATGGTGCAGGTGTGTGCTGGCCATTTAGGAGAGATCTGATTTTGGTTTACGGCTCCACCTTCTTGGAAGTGAGTGTGTGCTTCAAGGGAGAAGAAAGGTGCATGTCTGCACTGTGTTGTTCAGGGCAGGATAGACCAGTGCCTCGAGCCTGTGAGAGATGGAGCTGCAGGAAAGACACAGAGCTGACAGAGGTACAGCATTTGTGCATGACTACTCGGAAGTGTTAGATGGTGTGCAGGACCAAGGCTTAAGGTGTGAGCAGTAGCACCCTACTCACAGCCTGTTGGCAGTTCTGCTTTGATATGTTGTTGCCCATCCATCAGATTATTGCTTGGGTATGTTCCATGGTTTAAGAATACACGTCCTGTACTGTACAACTAAGGTATTAAGAATTTTGACTTGCCTGTAAACTCCTTTTCTTGGAATACAGTACAGCACACATGCCCACTCCCCCAAGTGTTTTGATCCCTCCTTATTACCTTCTACAAAAAACTGGCGTCTCGTGAGCCAGCAGGGTTATGTATGGTGCGCATTGGGGGCGGCCCTAGAAAGTTTTTTGCCAATATCCAATCACCTGAAACTGCATCACCTATAGTGGCATATAACCCATGATC